TGTATTTTCTATGACAGTCTACATAGCAATGCTCGTAACTTAATCTATTGTTACGAAATGTCAAGGCGCGGTAAGATGGCTTCCCCGCAAAGCAGTTGTAGGGTTGCCACATTTGGTGATAAATCGCCTATTTGGCGACAAAAATTGGCAACATACCATGGACGGTTGGAGAACTTTCTGGAACGAATTCTTACCGGTTTAGCCCAGAATGTTCTTTAAAAGCCGAAAGCTCTGCAAACCTTGCTGGTCCGCAGTCAGTTAGTTACGCTAACTGATTGCGGTGTCTCATCTAGTTAGTCCGTGCGGAGACGATCGAGTTGACAAACGGCCAGCGAGTGCCGAGTGGGTCGTCGAGTGCATCGAAGAGTCTCTTAGTGTATCGCTGTTAATGCATCGTCGAGAGAGCGTGTTGAGCTCCGGGAACGACTGAACCGAAGAGTCGGGAGCTGTGCTCGTGTGTCGTCGAGAGCATCGCGAGTTGTAGCGTGGAGAGTCTCGAGAGTACGTGGAGTTCCGAGAACGAGCAGAGTCGGGAGCTGTACTCCGGAAAGCAGAGTCGGGTGCTTTGCAGGAACCTGTTTCCACCGTGATAGGCTGATAACCTGAAGGCTGTGTCGCTGATCGTGTCAGCGTGTTTATAGTAGTTCATCGACGACTGTAAAACGTGTTTTGGAACTGTCCTGACAATACTGGTTAATAAAGTGTGTTTCGATACTTCAAGAAGTGTCGTCGTTATTCACTCCAAATCCCCGTACGAATTGAAGGAAGAAAATAACGTAACAACTGGTGTCAGAAGAATAAAAAAAAAAACTCAACACTATTAATATCAGAAACCTTTTCCAAAATCAATAATTTATATTTAATTGCATACAACTGCAAACATTCCATTTTTCAGTTTATGTAGGAGTTAATCAGCATAACTTTAAAATCAAATTTTAAAATTCAAACTCTCAGTCAGTTTTTGATGACGGAATCACACATTTTTGTGTATCATATTTTAGAATGTGCGTATGTTTTACGAAGTGTAATTATATGTACCTAGAGACCATTAGCTTTTGTAATTATTCAAAAATTAATTATTACTTATTTCTACGAAGGAAAAGAAGTAATCGCGAAAAATTTCTGGTATCATATTTTAACAGTAATATCCAGTTTGAACGTTCTAAAATATATTTTGATTATTTTTTTTTTTGCCTAACATCTGTACGTAGGGACAGAATAAAGGACTTTTTTCTCCAAATCGGATTGTAAAATGGATTTAAAAAGAAACTTTTTCAAGACTTCTGTACGTAAGAACGTCTATATATCGCATTCCTCAAAAGCGTAGAACGTTGAAATTTTGTATATCGGACTCCAATAACATGTAGTTGTGCATCGCCCTTTTTTATTACAATCAACAGTAACAAAGTATACACACTATATATATATATATATATATATAAATGTAGCAAAACAACATGAATTAGAGAGATTTTAGTGGTGACCTTTTAGCTATTTTATTTTAATTGTGCCTTTGCATAAGTGAGATTTATTGTCAAGCTTTTTCTTGTTAAATAGTAAGTTTTACATTTTCAATTTAAATTCCGGCGCGTAGGGAAAAGAGCGATATAATTGAGACTTACCCTACTTTTTTAGGTCATTAAGTTGGAATTTTCTTTTAGTGAAATTGCGTTTATGGTCTCAATTATTATCATTCGACGAAACACGCTATAGGTATTAACTTGATTCGAGTTTTAAGCTGCTTTATCAGGAGGTTTGAGCCGGATTTATCAAGGAAAATCCTTGATAAATCCGGCTCAAACCTCGAATTGAGCTATTTACCATTTGTTGCAATTTTTTGTACATATCATGTATTTTTGTAATATGCTTAAATTTTACAAAAGTCCTTTTAAAATTACTTGTAAGTTAAAATTTATAATTTTTTCTTACCCCTTCTGATTTTGAAATCATCTCGACTTGCAATTTTAACATTTAGTTTTTACGAGATTGTTTTTACTACTTTATTATTTTTCTAGTTATTGAATGATTTTACATTTTTGCTAAGGAAATATAGAGTCAAATGTATTTTTTAGCATTAGCTTTTAAACGTTCCTCTTCTAAAATATATATATACTATAAATATGTGTGTGTGTATATACCCAACTCCTAACCCGGCCTTAAAGTCTTTATACAGCCTTTATTTTGGCAATCATTGGTCGTAGTCATATACTTCCAGTTACAGAAGTGTTTTAAATGACGAAAATATTCATGTTTTCGGAAATTTCAAGTCAAAAAAAATATTAATTTTGGACAATAACGAAATCCATATTTTAACTTTGTCTTCCGGTTCCTATGCTTGTATTTGGAAAAATTTTATACTTGTTATGAAAAAATAAATTTATAAGAAGTTGACTCCTGTACGACAAAAACTGAGCGAAATATTTAATTTTATCGGTTAATTTTAAGTTAGAATAATTCGAGGAAATAAGTTTAAATGAAGTGCAACCAACAAGGTGTATAATTTATAAGTTAGTGGACCGCTCAAAGAAGTCGTGCGGTATCCCAATCAGATTTTTTTTACATAAAAATTGTATAACATGAATATTTGCGTAATTTAAGATATTTTATAACTAGAAGTATATGTCTACGAAAAATGGTTGTGAAAATAATGGTCACACAGGAACTTTTGTAGGAACGGTGTATATAAACTTCGCATCTTTAAATAATGCTCGTAACCGTATACTTCCAATTACAGAATGCTTCTGGAAAGAAGGAGGAGAATGTTTTGAAAACGGTGTCCGCCGATAACATCGCGGCAAATACATCGCGGACGAAAACGTCGCGGCGAAAACAACGCAAGGCGAAAACGTCGTGCTACAAAACATCGTGGGAGAAAACATCGCAAAGAGAAAACATCGCAGTTCTAAATCATCGTCGTACAAAATATCGTCGTCGAACCTTTGAAATTGAACCTTTGAAATTGAACCTTTGAAAACAGTCTCACCGTTGAAGCTGGGGACGGTTCTGGTAAAATAATGGCAAGTTTGTTATATATGCTTCTCTAGAAGAAAACTTCCAGTCAATATTTCAATTAATTTTTAGAAATCTTGGATATTAATATGTATCAGACATAAAAATTTCATACGGTTTTTTGGTTTCTATCCTTTAAAACACCCATCGTGTCCATAAACGTCTTTACCCTGGCTTTACTTTCGCCACATTTGGCCTTAGACACATAGTTAGTTCCATTTACAAAAATGCTTTAAATGCTCAAAAGATTCCCATTTCCGTACTTTTAAACTTTCAAAAAAGTGTATAAAATACGAAAGGTCAGCTTTTTATACTTTTCCCCGGTCCCTATACATATATTTAGGATAATTTTGGACTCCTTATAAAAAATAAAACGGAAAAGTTTTTGACTTCCGCAAAAATTGACCGAGATGTTTGGTATTAAAATCGAGGTTCATTTTTAGGAGACATGTACAGATTGAAAAACAAAGTGTTTTCATATTTGTACGCAACAAAAAATATAACATTAGTTTAGAAAAATAGTTTCTGATCTTCAGAGGATATGTTACTAGCATTTCTATACTGATCATTGTGAGAAATATTGATCAGTATAATTTGTACAATTAACGTGATTGTGAATCTAAAGTAATAAGACTTCATGAGAATATTAATAGCAAGTTCTTAGACTTTCGGTACTAAACGTACAAATTATTTGCGTGAAAATGCATTCGAATATCAAAGGTAACAAAAATGCAAATTAAAGGCACTAGTAAACCATAAAAAAATACCATTTTAAGGATATTTAAGGGGAAAAAAATCAACCTCAAATAATTCTAATTTACTTATTAACCGACCCCCCTCCCAATGCAAACTGAATATGAGGTCAAAAATGGCAAATTTTGAAGTTAAATATCTCGATCAATTTTTGTCTTACGAAAGTCAAATTTTTTTATCTTACTTCTTATAACGATTACAGTATTTTTCTAACTATAAGTATAGAGACCGAAGGAAGTGGCTTAAAATGTTATAGTATAAAAGATATAAAAATTTAAGTTTCGTAATTTTTACAAAATTGATTTCTTTAAATTTAAAAGTACGAAAAGATGACTACCTGCGTCATTTAAATTGTTTTTATAATTGAAAGTATATGTTAATGACCAACGATTGCGAAAATAAAGACCTGGTGAATACGGAAGATAAAATTCTAATTTTGCTTTTTAGCAACCCTCAAAACCCGAATTTAATTTGATTATTTCCACTTTTTGAATTCTACGCATTTATATTTAACCTAATTATTTGTAAGAACTCTTGACCATAGAAATTTCGGAATATTTTTCTATTCCTATGAAGAAGCAAAAAGTATAGAAAATGTGAAATAACATTAGTTTCGTCATTTGATTCTTAAAAATTCTGAAAATCTGCAATAATTATTACTAGTCTTAATATGAATTTCAAATCGACTTTAATGTCGCTTTTTTAAAAAAAGATAGGAATTTTTAAGCTTAATAGATTAGAAGATACAGTTTTTAGGTAGTATTAAAGTATTCAGAAAAATCACTCTGTGCATTGTTTTCAAATATACTGGCCTAGATTCACTAACTTCATATGAAAGAATAGCTCTCTGAAGTCTAGCTGAAAACACGTTTAGTCTGCTAGTGAATTTACTGACTTTGATCTATACCATTTATAACTTTTAATTAAAAATCATTTTTACAAACGTATTCCTTCCTGGAGTAAAGTTTTTTTTTTGGGGGGGGGGTGCGTGTGTGTAAAAATCAGTACATTTTTTCATGGATATCAGTTGCATTTCTTCTTTTTGCAATAATTGAATCTTAGTTCAACCACCGTTATTTCAAGAAATTTGCTCGTTTCCCTATCATCTGATTTCTGTCTAGTTCATACTGTATTTGGTAGAAGCAACACACCTTTACCTGGATCTAGACGCGACAACTGCTCAACAGGTGTCGCTCCCGCATCTCTTACCTCACTGAACAAGCTTTGGCAACTTCTCACTTTATATCCAAATAGGGAAAATTACGGCTGAGGAATAATGCGTGTGGCATAACCGAGGTGAAACCACAACCGCGTAGGCCAAACTTTCCGAACGTCTTTCGTTAACTGGACAGGATAACCGTCCTCAGAGATCAGCAGCGTGTGACTTATTTCTTATCGACAGAAAGAATCAAAAGAAGAACCATGGAACCATTTAGTTCTTTACAAATGCAGATAACGGGTAAGCGAATCTTTTCAGTTTTCTCGTTTCAATTAGGATGATTTTTATCTTGAGTTCAGTGACATTGAACAGAAATCTGAAAGTCAAAGACAATTAGTTAAAATGTATATTTAAGCAATATTTTATTTTTCGATACAAGAAATTTTTTATCTCCCCCGCCTCTTCAATTACATAACGTGAAAATCCAACTTAAGTAAAATAGTCCTCGTCTCCGAACATGTTGACAGCAGTTATGGTTGCAGCTATATTTGAAATGGGTATTTGCTAGAAAGACATTTCTTCAAAGATGTGAAGCTTTGACTCCATTGTCGCCTTTGCTTTTAGCAGCTTCACAAACCACAGAATGTTTGATAAAAGTCTATAAAAAAGTTTGAAATCAACATAATGCTTGTATATAAGTAATTGAAAGAGCACCTTTCTAATTTCGTAACGATCACATGTTAGAAATGTTTTTTTTTTTTTTTTTTGTAAATGTCTATTTGCATTTATAAAGACCATTAAATTGGAACACTTAAGTTTTCTCGATTTTGCTTTTTCTGTTCCTTTGACATGAATTATTTAATTTTTATGATTCAAAAGAAAGATGATAACATTTTTGGTGTTTATTGCTAATAATGCATATGTAAAATTCTTTTTGATTTGTTTATAAATAAAAAATTTGTTTAACTTTGCAGTAACACAAAACGCATAAAAAGCGGGTACAAATAAATGAAGAAATTAAAAAGTGTTAGAATTAAAAAACATTACATTTTTAAGACGGTATTTTTTATGTAATTCTAATTCTAATAAATATTTGGATTTGAATCTAATATATATTTAGTTAGCTTATTAGATTTAAAATAAGATATTTAGCAAATCTTGCTAAAAAATTTATATAATAATTATTACATAAAATATTATATATTTATTACATAAAATATATATATTTATTACATAAATATTAAATTTGTCAGTTTAAAGCACACTTTTTCTAAAATTTAAAATAAAACCTACTTCTTATAAAATTAAAGCACAATTTTTACTATAATTTATTCTTGTCTGTAGTTTAAAATAAAACAGCTGAAAGTTGATTTTAAGGACATATTAAAACTCAAAGGTTTTGCTTACTTTTCAGTCTTCTGCTTAAATCAATTATTTTTCAAGAAATAAATGAGTAACAAACAGTAAGTTTTGTTTGTAACTCATTTATTTCTATTACTACTTCAGTGAAACTGTTTTTGAAAATAAAGTTTTTTTTTCACTGGGAAAATTTTGTATTACTAGGTGCTATTTACTGTAAATAAACATTGTAGGCGTTTTCAATTGCGTTTAGATGTCAAGGAAAAAACTGCAGAAATGAAAAATCATTGTACTCTAAACTCAATAACTGCTTGTAATACTTATTCAAATAAGCCCTTGGGATTTCAGTCACCAGTGCAAATGAACTGTGTAGCAAAATAGTAAATTTCAATTAGATGTGAATATTTTCTAATAGAGGACATACCAAGAATCTCTGTGTATAAATTTCTTCGTAAAATTTATATTTTTCCCTTAGATAAGTGGCAATGGGATAGAAAACACAAATATATAAAATTTTAATAACAATCGAAATCAACAAGTAAGTTGTTAAATATGACAATTATTTTATTTTTATTTAGCTAATTTATGAGAAGCAGGGGAGAAAATTTATAATAAAAGTTTTAAAAGTAACTGTAATATTTTTCATGAATATTTTTAATAATAAATATTATATTTTCCATTGCATTACTTTTCATTTTAACAATCAACTTCGTGAACAAAATTTGATAAAAATCTAAATATAACCCAGCTGCAAGTACTTTTACAATACAATAAATCTTCTCCGCCTTTTTCTATTTTTGTAAGCAAATATATAAATCTCACGCACTCATTTTCATACTCATAACCATAAATGTATACTCACGATTATCCGCAATGCTGACTTTATTTCATTAGTTTCATGCAATTAAATTTCTATAAATAAGAATATTACATATATAACATTATCACTGTAAATGCTACTATTCGTATTAATAGTAATACATATAATTTGTATGACATTAATTAAATCATAATTTATATATTGTATTATTGTTCTTGCGTAATGAAACTACGTTCTGCAACATACTAATTACTTAAATTATTAATAAAATTTCTATGCATATATAGAGAGAAATATTTTCGGAGAATAATAATAATCTAATCCTACATAATTTAAATGATGAAAGATTTTTCTCATAAAAACAGTTTCGGAAATTGCGTAACATTCAAAACATATCTCAACAATAGGGGTGGAAATATACATTAATATAAAATAATTCCATGCACGAAAAATCTTATTATAAAAGAAGAAGCATGCTGACTGTACTGTAATCGATATATTTGAATGGTTAAATTATATGTTTAAAATTTTTCCTACTATGCTGCCCATTTCCTTAATACCAGCAAAATTTAAGCATTATTAGTACTATTTAAAAGTCTCCGATTATTTATTAGTGTATAGTAATTATGAAATAAGAGTTTTTAGATTAGAATTTTTAACGCAAAAATATACTTTTACAAAACTGTAACCAAACAAGTAAGATGAGATAATTAATTATTATTACGTATACCCGACAGAAGACGTCCGTTTAACTGGGTAATACCGAGGGTAACACCATACTAAATTTGACAGTATATTAAATGAAAGGACATAAGGAAGAGGCATAATCCATATTAAAATTAGCAGAATAATACTAATGACAACTTACCCGCATTTTCAAGCAGTTTAGTTTGGAGAATAAATTCATTTCGTTATGCAAATTAAATTAGCATTCAAAAGAGAAAGAACAATATTTTTATACGTATTATTCCTTATCCTTCGATAGAAGTCAGTCGCAAATAGAAGATTAAATGTTGAATACTTAATTTAGTTTTACAATTTAACAATTTATTTTTAACGAATATTTTAATGCCTTGGATTTCATTGTGCATATTCTAAATTAAGCATGAAACAATTCTTAATTAGTGCAGTCACTGCTGTCATTCTATACATTTTCTTCACCGTTTTTTTTATTCCTGGTAGAAATTTTGCTGTATTCTGATGTTTCGCTATAGTATAGTTTTCATATTCCAGCGATAAACAAACTTAAAAGTTTTTTTTTAGACAAGGCCCGAAAATTCCGCAACTCGGTTATTCCGTTCCCGATTAATCGGAAATTGATTATGAATTATGTATTTAAAATCGAGATAAAGATGTTTTAATATTTTAATGCCTTGGATTTCATTGTGCATATTCTAAATTAAGCATGAAACAATTCTTAATTAGTGCAGTCACTGCTGTCATTCTATACATTTTCTTCACCGTTTTTTTTATTCCTGGTAGAAATTTTGCTGTATTCTGATGTTTCGCTATAGTATAGTTTTCATATTCCAGCGATAAACAAACTTAAAAGTTTTTTTTTAGACAAGGCCCGAAAATTCCGCAACTCGGTTATTCCGTTCCCGATTAATCGGAAATTGATTATGAATTATGTATTTAAAATCGAGATAAAGATGTTTTAATATTCCATATGTATTCAAATTAAATTCCAATTAATCATTAATATTTTTGACGCATGATTTTTATCTCATTTTGTACTGTGACTATAGCAGATATTCTTCTCTTGGTGTACAAACAGAGTGACAAATTTATTTGAAAAGTTTTATAACTACTCTTTTTTTTTTAAAAAAAAGACTACTATAATGTTTATGCATCAGTGAGACTATAAAAATGGTTCAAATTTAATCGGTACATTTGTACAAAATGTCTGCTGATTATTACTATTTCAAATAAGTATAATAGTGTTGAAGGTATTAAGTTTTAGTTAATTAATAAGATACTGCAGAAATAATTTTAGTTTTATTACCGTAAATATTAAACGGATTTCATTGCTTTCTAACATTTTCGTAATGTTATAGGCTACCTTTTTCTGATGCCCATCATGTTCAAAAATATCTGCCGAATATGAAGCTCTTTTTGATGGCATTGAGACTGCCTGAAGTCTGTCTATAAAATCCTGTGTCTATAACATCTGTCTGTCTATAAAATCCTGAATTTTCCAATCACTAGCTAAAACTGTGCGAGAAAGCTTTTAAATATTATAAAATAAGTATTATATTAAACTTATTGGCAGAGTTTGCAAAAACTTGATATTTTAGAGACTAAGCAGATCCGAGTCGAATCGAGTTAAAAATACAGAGTCTGACTTAAAGCTTTAAAATTCCAAGTAAACGAAAGTTTCAATGTATCAAATATTAACTTCAACAATGCGTTCTATAGCTAAGTAATACGTTAACATTCATTTTAATATAGGTTTATAATTTTACATAAAAAATTTCATTATACTTTCTAGTAAAGTATTAGTTTTCAAGTAAAATTATATGTCTAAAGAAATATATTTATATCTTTTACAAAGTAAAATGCTGTTCAAGCACTTGAGCATTCACTTCAAGTTCATATTGCTAACGTTAAAAAAAATGAAGATTTTTTTCATAAAGAATCTGCGCATATTTCATGGTATTAAAAGAAAAATAGGACATCTATGGCTATTTTCCAACTTAATGATATACCAAATCTTTGCTAATTTTCTTTTCGGTAGATTTGGGTTAAGCGTAATTTTTGTGAGTTTTATAAAATGTCTCAAATCTACCAAAGCTTTTGCAATGCTCTTTTTATACAAAAATATATCCATACGTATGAAAGCCATGTAGTTCCAATCCTCATTTATTAAAGCCTCAAGAGAACTCGTTTTTAAGCTCGATTTCAGTGCATTTAGGTTTTCGTAATATACACTCACGTTTGTGAAAATTGCAACACCAAGAAGGAATCGTCATAATTGAATGCAATTTAATACACAGTTGAGTGGTAGTGGTACAAATAAATGATTAAATGTTCAAAGCTAACAAACAAGAACAAGAGATCAGAATCAGTATTTTGTGTAGCACCACGCAATAAGTGCTGCTACACGACGACATGGAGTCAA